AACTGGCTCATGCATTCGAATAAACGATAAATTGATTTTGATCACCGCAGAGAAGTTTGAGAATGATTATACGCAGCTCTGGATTTGGGAAGAAATAGCGGTTAACTTTTGCTGTGAATGTGTTATGCTATACTAGTAGCGCCATTTAATCAAGATTTAATTAATATACACGTTTAAAATGTCAACAAAAAACTTTAATAGCATTGGGAACAACAGATACCTTAATGGGTCTTGCATCGTACTCCTCGCCGTCGATGGAGTAAAACTTCTCGGCCATTTCACCATCCGGATGCAGTTGAATAGTCCTGCTCTTAATCACCAAGCTAGGCAAAATGTTGCTGCACGTCACTTCAGGTATTTGCTTGATGAACTCCCAGCCCGGCTGCAAGGAACTTATAAACTGACTCTCCAGCTCCGCAAAGTTATCCTTATTCTGAACACAATTGATGTTTATCTGACTGGCTTCAGCGCTCCCCTCGAACTTCTTGCTGCAGTTGTCGTTCTTGATGAGCGGCGTTTTTATTTCTGCCGGGTTCTTTTGGTACTTTATGAAGCCTCTTGTGAAGAGACCAGCGGGCTGGGCTGCTTCCTGGCGTTGAACAGAAGCTGCACAGTCAACGCAGCCAGGACACGGCGGTGTGTATACATAGTCGGTCTTAAGGCTCCAGTTATCAGCAAAGGACTTGGAGGCAGCGGAAGCGTAGTGACGCAGTGGTCCGAAGTACCAGTATTTATCCTTTGCCGCACTGATGTCCTTTAACAGACCCCAGGAGAGGCCATTAAGGCCGAATATGGGCTTCAACTGGCTGTCGGTGCCATCGTCTTCGTTGATCACATCAAAGCGAATCACGCTTTGGTACTGGCTCTTATCCTTGAGCATGGGTTCCAGGGCTTTGGAAAGGCTTTTTACATAGTTGACGTCCTTGACGCCAAAGATATTGATGCGCTTGGATGCGGATTGCATGGAACGTCCCAGCGGAAGGATTGTGATCGGGCAGAGATTGCCGCGTCTACGCATCAGCCCTGTGACCACCTCCGACGAGGTACCGTCGCCGCCGGCAACCACAATGGCATCGGGTAGCGTCGCCAGCTCTTCCACGTAGGTTTTGGCATGACCAATGTGATTTGTCCGAAGGATCTCCACGGAATATCCAGCTAAATGCAAAACCGGCTCGCAGTAATTCGTGAACTGAAAATCTAAGGCTGGGTTAAGAACTTGGTCAGCTGCGTGCCAGCTACTTACGAACTTCTCCGATCTCTTCTTGTTGGCCACGGGATTCATAACAACCAGTACCTTCTTGGGGCGATCCGATACCCAATTGGTCTGGATGTTGGATGCAAATTCCCGCATATGTTGTTCAATCCTGGAGAGCAAATAATAGGTTAAAGTTTTGTCGAGTTTTCACTGTTTTCTGAATGCATACTCGACGTGCGTTTTTAGCGCTTGCAGCGCGTACACAGACACTGCCGCTCCGAACGTGCATTTCTTCCAATTATTCCGAATAACTCTTAAATAATTCATATTTCTTATTTAGACCAATGATTTTGATTCCACATGTATTGGTTTGGCTTCACACAAACAGCTGGATTTCAGTTCGTGAAGGGTATTCCACCAAGTTTACATAAGCTTTAGCTAACAGAAACGTACGGAATTGAAACAGCAACCTTGGACATGGCACACTATGTTACTTAACATTGTACTAAATTGGTGATAAAATATTTATTTTTTTATTCATTTCTAAGGCACTAAAAAAATTAATTAAATAATAACAGCATTCGTAAGCACTGCGCACGGCATTTTCAACTCAATATTTAACATCTTTCTGTTTGAAGAGTGAAAACTCAGTAAGGAAAATCATAAACGTTTTATTCAACAAGCTATAATTGTTCAACATTATCATAGATATCCTCTAAGCCTGGGATGTTTCTCAGTTTTCCTATAAACACGTCATATGCCTTTTGGTCTTCGGGTGATAATTGCACTACATTCTAAAGGATAATTCTTATTTAACCACATTGAATAATTGAATTATTATACCGCTTTACCATTGGTGAAAATATGTGTTCACTGTTTTCTACGGTGTATCCAACCTTTTCCAAGTTTCTACTCAAACTAGTTAATACCAGTGGATTGCATAGAAACTACAATTTTGGGAAATACATTGTATATAAAATAAAAATTAATAAAACCAACATACATTCACGAAGCCATCGGCGTTGTCAACTACTTCGATCTCTTCGGCGCCTAACTCTATAGCATCATTAGTGGCTTTATCCTCCAAACTGGATTCGTTGAGAAGTTTCGAAGTATCATAGCGAGTTTCTATCAATCCAAAGTCCTCAAACAGGTTGCCAACATCCGTGAACTCGCCTCTAGAAACATAAAAAATACATTAATTCAAAAAAATGTATTGCAAATTGCGATATTACCCGGCCTTCTTGATCATCGGTGTCGCATCCATTTTAACGCCAGAAAAGTTGTCAGTATAGAAAATGCATATAAGGTAAACGTTTCTTTTGTACTTGATATCGAGCCTATACTTTTTGAGTTGCACTTTGCTGGTCTTGAATTTGTTTAAGGTATTTTGTATGGTACCGCTGGGCATGTTTTGCTTGAGGGCTCTCTCTATTTCCGTCCGCAAGAGGGAATTAATTGCCGGATCCGCGGAGTTGCCCTCTTGAATGGCTATTCGAATTTGCCTCGAAATTTTCGCAAACAGAGCAGCTCGGGCACCATCCTTCAGTGCTTTAGTGTGCTTGATGTTGGCCCATTTAGAATGGCCCGCCATTCCGCGAACTGGTTGCTGGGCTTGAAAAAAGCATTTTCCAAAATGCGTGGAAAATGTGCACACATTTCGTAACATTTCAAGTACTAGTGTTGTGATCTAAAAAGTGGACTAGTGTGACCGCGGCAGAAGTTCCAAGAAATACTTGCAACTATAAAAAATTTGCTCAAAAATTGTATGTTTGTTTATTTAAATTAAATGCGATACTATCCGGACTTTTATAATAAAAATATTTCTAAACATTTTACTAATGTATTTTACCATTCAAATATATTTAATAATTTTATTTATGACCTTTTTTCTTATTAAAGTATAGCGATTTACAAAGAATAACATTAATTACAAAATGTATCACGTAAATGAAGTCCCATGTTACACTAACATGAATTCTAAATACACCTTTATACATCTATACAACTTGTAATTGAACTTGCTTTTGAGTTAAACAGCTTGCAGCACTTTCGTAACGAATTAACTTATTCTGATGGGTTGTGGGATCATTATCGTAGTCCGAATTAACCACGAAAACATCGACGACATTTTCAATGGTGAACTGCTCATTTTGGAGCGTGTTGGTCAGTACCAAGGGTGATATTTTAACGAGTCCCAATTTGGATGGACAGACGGACAAAGGAAACTCGGCAGATTCACCACTTTGCAGTAGATTCAGCATAAAATCAGCACAGCCCGTGTATTGACTATCAGCCGAAAACTTTGCAACCAGACGTACATTCAGTTTCATTGGATGCTCAGAGGTATTCGTCACGCGACAGTTGAAGGTGAATATCGTGCCGATTTTGATTGTGTTTTTCGCATCCAATACTTCCAAGCGGAGTGTTTTGCATTCAAATGGCTAAAAAAAAAATAAGAAAATTATTTGGAATCTACTTTACACATTTGTATCCCTACCAATCGCTGTAACTGACTGGTTTGAAGTCTGCCCTTCTCGCCCAGATTCGATCTCCAGACAATATCCAGTTTTCCCACATTATTAAATTGTCGCAGGGTATCTACGTTCTTTGCAATATCTCCTTTGGGCTGCTCGTAACATACGAAATTGTGAGGATTTAGTTTAGCTACTGGAGCTCAACTCATCTTACCTTGATACAATACAGAAACTGACAACTATTATTGGGCTGCAGCATGTGCTTCACCGTGAACACAGATTCCCCATTTGGCAGAGTGTTCAATGGGGTGACGGAGTAATCCTCGGAACCATCAAGTTCCACCTTTTCCAGACAGAAGGGACTGGTGGTCACGTTTTGGATCTGAGCCTCCAAGTAGATTTCGTCGATTTCCGCATTGTAGAACTTGGTTTTCACATCGAGTGGCTTAAGCACTTGGAACTTGAAAAACTTTCTCAAGGATTGGGCATAGCCCGCCGAAGTCGAGTAGTTTACTTCGCAGACGAGACTGAAACAGAGTATATTACATGGTATCTTCAGATTTACGAAGCATAGATTGAACATATTGATGGGCGATTTGAAAACAAGTACTTATGCCCCTTACATGTGGGTTCCGATTTCCTTCACCTCGTATCGAATCACATCATCGATTGTCCCACCGGGCGGCAATACCACCGGGGACTTTGCGTTTTCGTGCATGGATAGATTGATACGTGTGGTGTTCGACTGGAGATCCGCCTTAACGGTGACACATTCCACTGGATTGGGGGTGGTATTGTGGACACATATGTAGCTGGCGAATGTTTCGCCCAGGTAAATGCTCCCGAAGGACTGTGGGAGCAGCAGCACCTGGCCCGCCGCTAAGGTCTCCGCACAGGCACCTGCTATTCCGTCGCTCGCCTGGGAATTGCCGAATCTCTGGACCAAATCTGTGGGCTCGCAGGTCACCACAGGTCCAAGTCCCACCAAAGTGGGCCGCATCAAACGCATAACTATGGAAGGAAAGAACATCAACACCTTGGCGATAATTTGGACGCACCCAAAGTTTACCTTTAAGGGCCACCAAGTGTGCATCTGGATCAACCATCTCCATTTTGGATGATACTATGCAGTGCTTATTTTATTAAAATAAATCAGCAAAAAATCTAACTCTGTTTACATCGGTGAGACCAAATTTATCGAACGGTATTATACCAATTTTCAGCACATGAATACCCTTAACATACCACATAGTTGAAGAATTAATACCAACATTTAAAATTAGAGCACTTAAAAAGTGAAATTCTAACTTTAGTTATTAAATAGTCAATTCTCAAAAGCAAGGACATGTTCGCTTATTTATTTTGTAATAAACAATATATATTTACATCACAATCTAGTACGAAATACTTTCAATCCTTATCCTTGCAAATTCTAGATGTCATTTCTTGTAGCGGTTCCAATTCCTTGGCCGAAATCATGTCAAATTCTTGAACAAAGTAGTAAAAATGTTTGTAGCAGGCATTTACGTGAGCTTCCTGAAAATTTGGAAACATTTAACAATTTATTGAGTTGATTGGAGAAACTATATAGTAATACGCACAGCTCCAATGCTCACAATACGATCGAAGTGGTGAATATAGACGTGGACAAAAACACGAAACAGACGGGTTAAAATTTTACGACTTATTGCTGAGAAGTTCTTTGGGAAAGGAACATCTGAAATGAAGAAGCGATACTAATTATAGAATAAGTATAGAAAACCAATAAATAGATTATATAGACTCTGCGTTCTTTTAACCGAAGAGACCCAAAATAAAAATTTCCTACCCGTGGACACTGGAAAAACAGCTTCATTGTTAATTTGTGTCTCAATCCAGTCCATTAAATGCTCAATGTATTTCTGCGCTGAAAGGGCGGTAGGCTTCTTGTATCTGAAATTGTAACTACATAAGCTTATGCGCTTCGGAATATCACTTATTGGACCTACAGATCTCCATCGGCCCATAAGTACTCATATCTAGAACCGCCAGACATCGTGGGACAGGTAGTTTCGTTGCAAAACTCAGAAACAGTTCCGTAGATCAAGTTTATGCGATTGAAGAAGTCCACAACTGAAATGTACCACGTTTGGCTTACGATATATGTTATATACGTCATATAATTTATAATTCTCACCATGCACGGCTAGCCAATCGTTGAGATTCTCCCCTTGTGGCAAACGCACCACTTGCCGCAGATTAATCCCGGACTGCAAACTGGCCTGGGCTTGCTTATGTAAGGAATACCTAATGGTTCCTGAGGCAAAGGGCTTCTTTGGCCTAAATGTCTGTAAATAAGTTGGCAAATATATCGAGTGCATATGGTTTTGTTATTGAACTAACATACTTTGCCCTTTTGGAAGAATTCTAAAAATCCATTCAAAGCCATAATATCTTTTTGGAGATTCTGATGTTAGTGAGAATATTTTGGCACATATGTAGGCGCTGCTTACAGTACAAGCTTTTGGTAATTAAATAACTATTTACGCTGCTTATGTTTACATTTATTCTTTAGATTATTCTGTATTTTTATGCCGATGGAGAGATGGGAGAACCCACTGATAGGCTTTTCACGACTAACTTATCGAACCCTTAGAATTATCGTTCCACTTATCAATGTTCCAGTATACCAATTGGATTCACTCCCTTAATAAACAAATATTGTTTTTGGTTATCATAAATATATTTATATTTAGTTTTAATCACTGAACAAATCACTACGGTAGGCAAAGATTGATAACTACAAATTTAAAGTCCGTTAAGAGTTGTGAAAACAAATATTGTCAGTGACAAAAATGTGCAAGGGTTCCATAATAATATAAATTGTAACTGTGGTGCATTTATTATAAAAGTCATATACTTATGCTAAAAATTTAAATGTAGGTTATTCTTGTTTGAGGATTCCGAGTTCCTGAAGTAACTGGTCATTGTTGGTTGGAGTGTTATTTTCGCCTAATTGGTTATTCCATTGAATTAACTGCAATAAAGATGGGAATAAATAAATTGGTTGGACGTGGATTGATAAATTATATACCGACGCGCTCCAGTTCGGTACGCAGAGCAACTACAGCCTTCTCCCGATCCGCCACCAATTCCTCCAGGTACTGATACCGCAGCTTCTTGCGCGCCCGACATTCCCTAGCACTTTGTCTGCTGCGTTCTGCAAGAGAAAATACACGTAATATTAATTTTCATAGTAAATAACATGTGTGGCGTCCGGAAATTATAATAATATACTGAATGACATTCTTTGAGTGTTAGAAGTGTAAGATGTTTGTCTTACCTAGTTTGGCCTTGATGTCCAATTTTTCAGTAGACGTCTTTCTTCCTGGCTTTCGTCCTCTCTTCCCGCACTCTTTGCGCGTCTGTTTATAAATGTAATACGAAATATAACTTATTACAATTTCATTTCAATATTCTTATTCGAAAAAATGCGGATCCGATAAGTCGAACTTAAAATCGATTTTGAAAATTAGCGCTTTAACATAATAACCATTTATATTTATGAATATATATACATACATATATAGATGTATATACATATGTATGTACAAACATTGCTTTACTGCGCATTAAAACAATGCACTTCATGTTCAAGACAAAAAGAATGCAACTTGTATATTTAATGATAAGTTACCACTTGTGTCTCCTCCGTTATCGACATTTTATTACTTTGTATCTCCATATCTGCCATTATATCTCTCAAATAGTTAAACAACTTTGCAACTTTTTGTTATTATGCGACTTCCGTAAATACTCAAGGTAACACTAATCAAAACCAATACACACATAGAGCTCTATCGAAATTTGTCTGAACAGAAACGATGGAATTGAACACATTCATAGGACTATTGGAATACCATATTCCAGACTGAAGAAATAAATAAAAATTTTACCGAAATCCACTTCTTTTTAAGGACTTTCCAAATAATAAGACCAATCTCTTTTTAGTAAATAGTTATTGTTATTGCCCGTAGCGTGAGCTTCAAGATTAAATATATTATAAAAACTTTTTATTTAATCAACACTGCTGAGGTTTAGTATATTTAATCGCTAAGCTATGAACTTTTTGGCTTCAAACAGCGTAGAAAAAGTTGCTGGCAATCATTAAAAATGAATTTATTATTTTATTAGTTCATTTATGTATATACTTTACTAACACAAACACTTTATTTTAAATGAAGTCAAAAATAATTAAAATAAATAATAACTCTTTATAATAACAAATATATTTAAAAAAAAAAAATTATAAAATTTACTATAAATTAAAGTCACTAGTGCAATGGGAAGTCCCTTTATTTCAAGGGGCTACTAAAGTATAAATATATCCCAACATATTCCCAGTCTCAGCGTTTCAAATGCAAGGCTCTTTTTGAAAATTAGCATTTTTGCAACGAGTTTAACCACCCTGGTTGAAAACTTGATATAGATACAAACGCTAAATTGTCCGGTGGTGATAACTTATTGATTATTTATTTTTCAAGGCAGCTATCCGATTTGCAGGATATCTCCGAAAACGAATCAGAAACAGTGAACTCAGATGTCCAGCATGGGTGATCAGCGCGGGACACGGGTGTACGTCGGCAATCTGACCGACAAGGTGAAAAAGGACGATCTGGAAGGGGAGTTCACAAAGTACGGCAAGCTGAATTCGGTGTGGATAGCCTTCAATCCGCCGGGTTTTGCGTTTGTGGAGTTCGAGCACCGCGACGACGCCGAAAAGGCGTGCGACATACTGAACGGATCCGAGCTGCTGGGCTCCCAGCTGCGCGTGGAGATATCAAAGGGGCGGCCACGCCAGGGTAGGCGTGGCGGACCAATGGATAGGGGAGGACGACGCGGCGACTTCGGCCGGCACAGCATCACGAGCGGTGGGAGCGGCGGTGGTGGTTTTCGGCAGCGCGGATCCAGCGGATCCTCGAGCCGGCACACGGAGCGGGGCTATAGCTCCGGCCGATCCGGAGCGAGCAGCTATAATGGCAGAGAGGGAGGCGGCAGTGGCTTCAATCGTCGCGAAGTTTACGGCGGTGGACGAGAGAGCAGCCGGTACAGCAGCGGTAGTAGCGCCAGCTACGGACGCACTGGCGGTCAGTCGGCCGGACGCTTTAGGTCTCGCTCGCCGGTGGGAAACCATCGATTCTAATGACAACACCACTCATAGCTGCTTAAGGATTGCCTATGAGTAAAGATTAATAAATAATAACTTAAGTGCGACCGTAAAACGCAGACTCAAACATTTAAAATCGTAGCATTCGATCGTTTTCGATCGTCCAAAAAATTCCCACACCCCCACATCAACAAAAGAAAAAAAAAAACAACAAACTGATAGTCGTCGTCTCTTCATTATTTATTTTACGAATAACCATTAACATGACAATTGCAAGCACGTATGTAAAATCTAAGTTATAACGTAGACAACTAGTAAGAAAAATACGCTAAGACTCGAACAACGTCAAACCAAAATCTAGAAGTACGCAATTTTAATAAAGGAAATGCGGAACAGTTTCTCGTATACATACAAGCTTTCGCAGAATAATTGGTCTACAACATTTTTACAGAACCTCTTTCAACCAACCAAATAAACCCTACGAAATGAAGCAGTAAGATGTCCAAAATCGGTAAGAATGCGTTTTTAAAGATCTGCTTTGTTTTCTGGATCTCGAAAACCTAAAAAGCAATAACAGCCAAGTGTTAACAAACAGATCATTGACTTTATATTTGGTAAGAAATATTGCATGACTTTTTTCAATCGATCTAACTTTTAACCTATTAAGAAGAATACTATAAAAATGTATAACTTATTGTAGTTGGGTCAAAACCGCAAAAATCTAGCCAATGCTTCAAGCGACTATCTTAAGCGCACCAGTTTTAATGTTATTTTACTTCATGGATTATCCCTTAACGCCACTTTCAGATTTATTGCTTAAAGTTCAAAACATAGCAAAGCAATACTTATGATAACGACGATTAGTTAGTTAGTCCAAGGGGCTGTTATATATTTGAACGAATGACTGCAGAAACTTTTTAAACGAATAACAAAAGAGACAAATAAATGAAAAATTGGTTAACACGGCAAATCTCTTGTTTTTTTATTTCTTCGACTTTTATCTAAATTATATTACTAATGTTTCGCCCAATTTATGTTTTATTCAAGTCGAGTTATAAGTACCTCTTTCAATAAAGGTAACAGGGGAAACATTTTCTAAGTTGTACTAAGGATCAGTTTTGCGGAAAAAAATAAGCCTTAGAATGTAAATATAATTTTTAAATTGTCACAAATGTTGTTTCCTCATTTTTTTTATATAATTCACCCAAATTTTTTGGCTCGAAGTCCAAATCATATTTATGTGCAATGAATCGAAATCCCATAAAAACCTGTTGCACATTTATCGATTGTTAATAAGGAAAGCGTGGATTACATTCAGGGTATTCCTTAAACTGATTATTTCAGAATTTCACTGGTCAACCTATGAAAAAAAAGTTAAAAATCAGAAAAAAGTTTCGCATTTGGAAAACTTGTTATCTTATGCGACCCCAAAAATAACAAAAACATATTAGTTTTTCCAAGAAATTATGTTTTTAATGGAATAGCTGATGCAAAGTTTGATTTCGATAGGTGAAACACGGTTAACTTGTATTGGCTGTATTGCATCTTCAATAAAAATAGATTCATTTGTAATCAACTATATGTTTATTCTAATAATAAAACAAACGAAAAGAAACGGATTGATAATTACATATTGTTTATAAAGTCATTCATGTTTAAACTATGTATAAAGCCGCATGACTTAAAAAATAAATAGTTCCATCGATAGCTTATCGATAGTTTTTGCATACACAATTTAATCGACAGGGCCGCACGCACCTCGATAGCAATCATGTACATTTTCTCAAATCTTGTAGTGGTATCGCTAGCCGTAAACACCCTGTGGATCTCACGCTTCATAAATTAATAATACATTTAATAGAGCATGAGCGCTACTGTTTAAGTTTTACACATAATTGAAAAGTTTTATTTGAAATTTCGTGGCTTATAGTAAAACATGTGATAGCTTTTGAAATGCAGTACCCAGAACCCGCTCGGTTGGAACATTAAGCTTATTGACTTAAACATACCCATATGCACATACATATGCGTGAGACAGTAGACACATATATTCGTGTGGTGCTGATAGTGTAAATGTGTAAAATGTCTGTGGAATTGTGACTATGTTTTTGTTTAAACAAATATGTACATAAATGCACAAAAATCGGTGCATATATGTGCACATGCCCGTCATCCATATCTGCATATTTCTGTACATGCATATGTGCTCTAACTACAATACATACCACCATTCGCAAACAGTTTGTCAAAAAAGTGTGTCTACTCGGCGAGATAAAACCAAAAACAGTTGCCAAATCAGTCGCTATGTTAAGTAATTCGAAATTACTGCTCGGTGTTTCTAAAACGGATTGTGATTTTGGTTTTCACCCATCGAAAAGCCCATTTAATTACTCGGATTCGAATTGAAATCGCCGTACGTTGGCTTCAATAATAAACCCTATTGGCCAGTTTGTTAAGCACAACCAGGACCATTCGACAACCAATCTGAATGTATTATGCCAAGAGGAAGTTTGTTATATTGTTTATCTCTGATAGTAATAGCCGATACATGTAAGTATGTTTCACGTGTGTGCCTCAAATTCCTGCCTGTTTGTGTATGCGTGTGGGTGTATGTGCCTGTGTGAATATTTGTGCTAAGGATATTTGTGGATATATAAACCGAACTCAAGTTAACTCTTTACCTGTTTCTAGCAAATCAAGTAGAGAACTATTCCTATAGAGATTGCACTTATGTATGTGTATGTACAAGCTTAAATATGTATCCAAGCAAGAACAGCAAACAGGAATATATCTTACCCGAGTAAAAACTATATTTTATATAGAATAACCCAAATTGATCAAGTTAACAAGCCCATTATTAGTTCCATATATCACTCTAGAATATTATTATTAACTCATATATTGACCATATTAGCAAACTGTCTGCAGTAAAAAGGTTAAGGATTCAGTTCCCAGTAGAGAACTGAGCTGCAATGAGTCAATACTTAGTTTTCAAACTTCCCTTAGAACTTGTCACTTTAGGAATTAATAAAATTAATTTTAATATAGCACGTATTCATAAAAAGGCACCCAAATTGTAATATATGTGTGCGCTTTGGTTTCCTTTCAGAACGTACACTTTGAAATGGAGTAAATAGAAGACAAGCACTGGTTCCCACATAGATTTGAATGGTAGCAGCTAATCTAATTTAAAAAGACAAGTCTTTAAACCTTACAAATATGGCCAACACTATTTCGTTAATGTCCAACGTGATACGCAAGGTAGTGAGTAAACAACGTATACGATACAATGAAAAAGGATACAATTTGGATTTAACATGTAAGCATTTGAATCAGCACTAATCATTGGACGACTAACTTTACTAATTATTTGCCTACAGACATTTGTGATAACATAATTGCCATGGGGTATCCAGCAACGGATAAACTAGAGCGCCTATACAGAAACCGAATGGAAGATGTCCTTAAGTTTTTGGAAGAGAATCATGGCAGGCATTACAAAATATATAACCTATGCTCAGAGCGTAGTTACGACGTTGCTATATTTCACGGGGTAATTTGAGGAAAACTATTTTCTTTGTTTAGCAGCGTAAAATATGTTTTTTTTTGTTTTACAGAGAGTAGCTGTTCTACCGTTCGAAGACCATAACCCTCCAACGATTGAGTTAATACAACGATTTTGCATGGATGTTGATTTATG